CAGTCCTGTCTCACTCGAGAAGTGAACATCACTTGTTGACTTTAAGCTTAATTCACTAGGGTTTTCAACCATGATCTAAGAATGTTTGTATCTCCAGCACTGACCTCCCTACCTGGCATATTGGAGAAGCTCAAAAATGTTTCCTGAAATGCATAAACTGACTTTCTACCTAAAATACAAATGGACTGTTGTCATTTCCCTACATAAAACCTCTTGATAGCTTCCCCACACCTATAGGATGAGGTCCAGAAGCAAACAGGGCCCTTCAAGTTCTAGTCCCTTTGAACCTATGTACTCTTATCTCTCAGCACTGTTCCCTCAAAAGTTTTGCTTCATTCAATGTTTTCCTCCTTACAGTTCTTCCCAAATGGAGCAAGCGTACTTTTGCACTGATCGCATATCCTGCCTGGAGTACCCTCCTGGATTCCCTACCCCAGTCCCCAGGTCACTGACTCCTTCTTCTGAACCACTTTTGCACTTTTAATATACATTTTTCTCTTGCAGCCTTCATCACAGGATTATAATCAAATCCATGCTGCCTACCCTTGCTAAGCTGTGAAACTTCTTGGGCAGAGACCATGTCTTCCTTGTCTTTTTATTCCCAGCACCTAGCACAATGCCTGGCACATAGTAAGAGTTCAGCAAATATGGACAGGAGCTACCGCACAGGTAGCACAAACTCCAATCCTTATGTCTATGTTAATCACAAGGCATTCTGCCTCCTTCAGAATGTCTTCTTGAAAAGATTAGACAATAGGAAGTTCTTAAGACTTAAAACCTCAAATTCTAATGCTGATTATTCACATTACCATATCTACTCAAGATGGTCTAACAACTAATATCATGTGGTCAAACTGCATATAGAACTCACTTATTTATTTTTATTTTTTTAATTTTTTTTTTTGAGAGAGAGAGAGAGAGAGAGAGAGAGACCAAGCGTAAGCAGGCAAGGGGCAGAGAGAGAGGGAGACAGAATCCAAAGCAGGCTCCAGGCTCTGAGTTGTCAGCACAGAGCCCGACGCGGGGCTCCAACTCATGAACTGTGAGATCATGACCTAAGCTGACTGAGCCACCCAGGCACCCCTGGAATTCACTTATTTCTGTTGTCTACATCTCCTTCTACTTTAGGTAGTCAGCTGCTAAAGGTAAGACTATCTGGATCAGTTATCCTGTGTAGCCAGCCACATGGTCAGAATCTTACAGCCAGACACAATTTCAGTATATTCTCAGACCAGTACTTGTATGTTCTCAGTACAATGGGGAAAGCAGAATGGTCATTTCTTTCTCATCCAGGCACCCAGGTCAAGAAACTTTGGAGTTATTCTTGACTCTTCACAAAAATAAATAAATATTAAAAAATATATATATATATATATATGTATATATGTGTACATATATACATATATATATGTAATCTGACCACTCCTCCTCCTCCACTGTTTCTGATCTACTCTAAGGTACCGGCAGATCTCACCTGGATTATGGCAACAGCATGCTAATGTTTCTCCAGAAAGGGACTATTTGTCCCCCAACAGGGACGATTTGTCCTCCAATAGTCTATTCTCCATACAGTAGTCAAAGTGATCCTTTTGTAGGTCTTACAAAATCCCACATTATCTGGCTTCCTTCTTTCTCTGTGACCTTGTCTCTTACTACTGCTCTTCCTATCTTCCTATCTTCTCATATCCAATAGTGCTCTTCCTCAGTCTAGGCACATTGCCTTCTTTGTGGTCCCTTGAACACACTAAGCATTCTTCTGCCTCGGGGCCTTTGCTCTTACTATTTCCTCTGCCCAGACTGCACTCACCTCATCTATTCCTGAGCTTGTTAGGTCTCTGCTTAAATGTCATCTCATCAGGGGGAACTTCCCTAGTCACCCTAAAAAGCAACCACCACTTCCCAGCTACTTGCCTATTCCTCTATCCCCCGTCTACCTTGCTTTATTTTTCTCTCACTACTGTATCTCCAGAGCCAGGAATATTACCTGACACATAGTAGACATTTAATAAATATTTGCTGAGTGGATACGGATATGAAAACAAACTGAAAAGTTGACTTAAGAAACATGCTCCTGAGTCACTTTTTAATCTTACCCTGACCTGGTGTTCACAGTACAGCTTACTCTACCTAGGGCACCTTAGCACTAATTTTCAGGGTTTTTCTCGCTTCCCCAATACATATGTGCCTATACATACACACCTACACTCAATCACACCCATTCGCTTTGGCTCAGGCAGGAAATCCAGCCTCCCCTGACTCGGACATCATTGCCCCATCCTCATTCTGTGTTAATATCCAACTGTCCTGGGATTGCCCCAAATGCATGACCTCACAATCTAATGGGGGCTCCTTTTCTGGCCCAGCTCTACTCTCACAAGGACTTCCTGACTTTGACTCCATCAGATAGAGCAGGAAATGTGAGAACCACATTGTTTCTCTTCCTTCCCCAAATCCTATCCTCCTTGTGTTAAGCCTCACTCCTGGCAGAGTCCACACCCCTCCTACATCTTGTCATATACAAGACAATCCAGTGACTGAAGAATTTCTGTTCATCAGAGTTCAGTGGACAGAGATGGAAGGAAAGGGAAGGAGGGAAGGAAGGGAGGGAGGGAGGGAGGGAGGGAGGAAGGAAGGAAGGAAGGAAGGAAGGAAGGAAGGAAGGAAGGGAGAGAGGGAAGGTGTGAGGGAGGGAAGAAGGAAAGAGAAAGAGAGGGAGGGACAGGAAAGGGAAGGGAAGGCAAGGGAGAAGGGAGACACGAACTCTGGTTGTGGGGGACATAAAGGTTACTTGTAAAATTACATTCCTTCAATTTCTGGGGTAGATGGCTGCCTATGAAGTATGTCTCTGGGGACTCTGAAAATGAGCTCTTGCGCTTCCGTCTTCATCCCCACATATTCAATAATTTCTTTTTAACTTCAGACAAAGCCCAGGTTTGGAGCTTTGTCTCACAGTTAGAAGCTAAGTTGTAATTTGTAAATACTCTTAGGAGAGGTAATACACTGATTTAAAATCAGACAAAGGTAAAAATGACGGACATCAGATTCTTGTTTTGGAAGAAAGAAGAGAAAGTTTTCTACACATCTAAAAAGCAGTAGGTAGACAATACCAAGTAGTGGAAAAAGAAAAAAAGAGGAGGCCAGATCTCCTATCCAATTCTGTGAAAGTTGGACATAATGGGACGAGAAGGGAGAGGCTGGAAGGTGAGGGACCACACTTATAAGTCTGGGCCACAGAATGCTCACTGAGAGAATAACTGATCACATGCCAAACTGCCTTTGGGGCAAGAGGAAAAGGGGCAGTTGCAGAGTGGGATGTCCAGAGATAATCTAGAGAATAAACTTCAAAGATGTGACTAAATCTCTTCCCCAGAAATATCAATGAAAAACAAATTTTCTTTTATGCTGTTTTTGTCTTTCTTTGGTTTTGCCAGTCTGCCAGCTTCTAAATTATCTGTCCCCCTCTGTCTCCACTATTGTTTTTCCCTCTTTAATGATGATCAAGTCCAGGGGCACCTGGGTGGCTCAGTGGGTTAAGCGTCAGACTTCAGCTCAGGTCATGATCTCATGGTTTGTGAGTGCAAGCCCCACATCAGACTCTGTGCTGACAGCTCGGAGCCTGGAGCCTGCTTCAGATTCAGTGTCTCCCTCTCTGTCTGCCCCTCCCCTGCTCACACTCTGTCTCTCTCTCTCTCTCAAAAAATAAACTTAAAAAAAATGATCAAGTCCAAAAAACCTGACTGAGAAGCCCTGCTCCCAGTACCTTTTTCTGAGCCACCAGGAACCCCCTCCTCCTTCACCCCTAGTGAAGTACATATTGGGAACAAGTGTTTCACGTTGTCAGCCTCCACACAGCACTAATATGGCTAGCAGCCAGAGTAAAGAACCAGGGAGAGCTAGAGTTTGGAAGAGTCTGGTTTAAAGTCCCTCCCTAGACAGTCCAAATTCCCCTGACACCCAGGGGGAGGGCCCTTCTCTCCAGTGGGGCCAGATTTTATGCAAGACATTTAGTATGTCAAAGTTTCAGTCTTTGGCCTTGGAGTTGGGTCTTCTGGGTCTGATTTCAGCTCCACCCCTGGGTGATCCTGGTTAATGGAGCACTCCACCCCTTCTTCTCCCAAACTTTAGACCCTTGACCTACCAACCTACCTGCCTAAAGGCAAGAAAGATCAGTGCAGGACTCGGAGCTCTCGAGGACACAGCAGTCAGAGAAAAAGAAAGGGGAGAGACTGGCGCTAAACGAAATGATTTCAGAACTACAACCTTTGCCCAGACCTACCCTTCACACAGGGTAACTGAGGGGTCCAGGAGCCTCGCCAACGCCAGTTCCCAAAGGGCTGTAGTTCCAGCCTGGCCGAAGAGCGCCATCTGGCGGCCAGCCCTCCCAACCTGGATTCTCTTTGGCCCCGCCGGAGTTCTCGAAGCCAGAACTAGACAGGGGCAGAACTGTCACCTCCTCCTGTACGTCACTCCGAGGACCCCGCCCCTGCTTGGAACGCGCCTCCTCCCGACGGGACTGGCCCTAGCGCCTCCCCCGCAGAACGGCCGCCCTTCCTCCCTCTTGGGCTGAACGCCGCTCGGGTAGAAAAATCTGCTTAATGTTCCCCCCCAGGATCCGCCCCACCCAGTCGCCCACAGGGAGCCCGCCCCTCCCCGCCATGGGAATCTGCCCCACGGTCTCTTCCTTCCCCTGAGGGAACGTGCCGCACCGCCCTCCCCCGCCCCGTCCCTCCCGAGGAAGGGGAGCCTCTGCTCCTCCCCCACACCCTCGCAGGGAGCCTCTTCCAGTCCACAGAGCCCAAATCCAGGTTAGTGATGAGGCTTCCCCTCCCCTGGTCCCCGGAAGACCCCGCGGCCGCCAGCTCCGCCGCCCGGGAAGCCGGCCCCAGCCCACTCCCCTCGCCCGCCAGTGGGCGGAGCTCCGCGGGCCCGGCCCCGGGGCGGGCTGTCCCATCGTGACGTCACTTCCGTCCGGGCCTGGCCGCGGTTCGGGCTCCGTGGGCCGAGGGGGGGTACGGAGGTGGCAGCCTCGGGAGGAGGCGGCGCGGGAGGCCGAGGAGCACCAGCCCGGACCAATCCCGCGTCCCGGGCCGCAACCCCCGATTCTGCAGCGCACCGAGAGGCGAGACCGGCCGGATGGGCCGCTGAGCCCGAATCGGGGACCGGTGAGGCTCGAGCAGAGCGGGCAGCCGGGGCCAGGGCGGGAGCGGGCCCGCGGGGCTGCAGGGTCTGGGATGCGGGGAGGGGAGAGGGCCAGGCCTACCGTTCCGGCTCGCCCGGCGGCAGACAGGCGCGGTGGGGATAGTGAGGCCGGCCTGGGGGAGGCCTGGAGGCGGCTCGGGGTGAGAAGGGGGCCGAGTGGCTGGGGTCATTGCTGGGGCGAGGGCCAGCCCTCGGGATTCGCATCTGGAACAGTGGCGTCGGGGGAGGGGGCTATGCTTCTGGCCAGGGCTCTTGGAAGAGGATGGCTGTGAGTGGGGGGAGGCAGAAGACTGCGAGGCTTGGAAAAATTTTCCACGGCCCTCCTTGAGAGGTTTGAAGAGCTCTTCTCTCCCGTGAGGGTGGTGTCGACCACCACCTGGAGAAGGGTCTCACTGGAGTTTGGGGGGTTCAGTTACAGCATTTGGAAGGGACAGTGTCCTGAGTCCCTTCACTGAGCCAGGTGTGCAAAAAGCCTGGCTACCTCCGAGTAGCTGAGCCTCCACATCTTTACAGCGTGGAGCCCCCTGGAGCTAAAATCAGGATGTTCCGTTTTATGAGGGACGTGGAGCCCGAGGATCCTATGTTCCTGATGTGAGTATTCCCTCCCCCTTGTGTTCTAGGGCGCTCATCCTACTCCAATTCAGGTCTCTAAGTGATTCAGACAGACATCTGGGTTCCCATTGCTGGCATTGGCTGGAACCAGCTGGATACTCAACTCTAGCTCAGACTTGGAGAGGAAATAGGCGTCTGTGCCACTGTTTCCCCATGACTTTTCTTTTTTGCTGGGGGAGGCGGGGAGTGGGTGTTGACTGTTTGGCCCTTCTGCCATCCACACTGTATACTCACTCCACAGGGACCCCTTTGCTATTCACCGTCAGCATATGAACCGAATGTTGTCAGGTGGCTTTGGATATAGCCCCTTCCTCAGCATCACAGATGGCAACATGCCAGGGACCAGGCCTGCCAGCCGTAGGATGCAGGTAATGGTGCTGCAACATACCTGAGACCCAAAGGAAGCCTGGAGGGTTCCTTTGATCTTTCTTGCGCTTTAGCCAGCTTAACAAGTGGAATGATCTTTTTTTAGGAGTCGGGGAAAGGGTCTGCCAAAAGGGTTTTGTGATCCCCTTTTGAGAGGAGGATGGAAAAAAAGCTGGGCCCATGGGCTTGGGGTTGTAATGAATAGTATGTGGTCTCTAATTTGTTCTTTGTGTTTTCCTGCAGGCTGGGACTGTTTCCCCCTTTGGGATGCTGGGAATGGTGAGTCCTAACATCTTTGTGTCCTTCCATCTCATACACACTCTAGGCCCTTAGATATTTTTTACAAATGTGGCTCTCTGGAATAGCTTTATGGGTAACCCTAGAATCTTTTTAAAGTTGATTTATTTATTTTGAGAGAGAGAGGATGAATCCCAAGCAGGCGCCGTGCTGTCAGTGCAGAGCCCGACTCCGGGGTTCCATCTCACAAAGTGTGAGGTCATGACCTGAGCCAAAATCAAGAGTTCTGTCACTTAACTGACTGAGCCACCCAGGCGCCCCTACAATCTTTCTATAGTGTTCACAAAGCTCTGGTCCTGTTGTGTGCTCTGAGTCCTGTGGGTTAAAGATGTTCACTTACTGACCCCTGCATTCTAGGAGCAATACCTATTAGGGAAATGTGATTGCCTAGCAAAGTTTGTCTTCCTGAGGATTGAGATGCAGTTGAAGGGCCAGCAAGAGATGGCTTTTTAGAGGTTTTTTTTGTTTTTTACTATTTCATGCCCACCCCTTTTTTTGTAGGTTATAATTCATTTACTTGGGTGTGCTTCTTAAAGATAGGAGGAAATAAGGCAGTCAGGAGAACAAAGATGGGATCAGAGCAGCCATAGAGACTGAGGAGGAAGGTAGCAGTATGTGGGAAGGGAAACACGGAGAGGAACATTCCATGTACTGGCCATGCTAATGAAGAGACAGAGCTGTTGCTCCGTGTGAGGGAAGAGGAGAAAGGGAATGTGTAGCCATGCGTCTAGTGGGTGCCTAAACAAGATAATCTGAGCACTGACTTTGCTTTCCTGACTCTGTTTTCCATCTCTTTGCTGCAGTCAGGTGGCTTCATGGACATGTTTGGGATGATGAACGACATGATTGGGAACATGGTGAGGCTCTTGCGCCATACACTTTTGCAGTCTTGTTCTCAGTGATGGCTGGCGACACCTTCTTGAGTCCTCTGAGGCGGGGCAGGCAAGAGTGCGCTAGGGAAAGGCTCAAGCCAGATAAAGTCATTGAACCCAGAGAGCATTGGGTTCCCTTATCTGTTCTCGTGGCCTAACTAGGAAGCAGCAGGAGCAGTCCAACTAAGCATGCGATTAAGGCTCAGTCTCTAAAGGTCTTTCTTGTTTATTGTTGGACTCAGAGGAATTTGGGGGGTACTGATGAGTCCTGATGTTTTCTCATTTCTCATGTTTTGTAAGAAAGATACAGACAGGAACAGGCAGCTGAAATGTGGGATCCCTTCGCCAGAGGGACCGTTCAGTCCTGCTGTGTGTTTTCCTCCACAGGAACACATGACAGCTGGAGGCAATTGCCAGACCTTTTCATCCTCCACTGTCATCTCCTACTCCAATACGGGTGATGGTGCCCCCAAGGTCTACCAGGAGACGTCAGAGATGCGCTCGGCACCAGGCGGGGTGAGTTGAAGGGCTTCTGATATCCCAGAGAACACAGGGTTGAATGACACGCACAGAAACCCTGGCTTCTTTTTTCATGATTGGGTTGGGGGTGGTTTGTGTATCCCAGCTTGGTGTAGCCAGGCTTTGGAAGGGACAGCTGTGTGCTGTGTTCTGCCTCCTCCCAGATCCGGGAGACTCGCAGGACCGTACGGGACTCGGACAGTGGGCTAGAGCAGATGTCCATCGGGCATCACATCCGAGACCGGGCTCACATCCTCCAGCGCTCCCGAAACCACCGCACAGGGGACCAGGAGGAGCGGCAGGATTATATCAACCTGGATGAGAGTGAGCCTTCTTTTCTTCTCATCACCCTTCTGGCTCCTGGGCCGGTAGCCACTGGTCCCGTTCCTGCGAGCTAGGAGACACCAACCAGCTTTCTCTCCTTACCTCTGTAGATATTTCTTGGCAAAGTTCTGGGTGGACCTCCTATTCTTTTTTTTTTTTTTTTTTTTTTTTTTTTTTAATTTTTTTAAACGTTTTTATTTTTGAGAGACAGAGAGAGACAGCATGAGTGGGGGAAGAGCAGAGAGAGAGGGAGACACAGAATCCGAAGCAGGCTCCAGGCTCCCAGCTGTCAGCACAGAGCCCAACTGCACAAACCCACAAACTGTGAGATCATGACCCGAGCCGAAGTCGGACACCTAACTGACTGAGCCATCCAGGCGCTCCAGGCCTCCTATTCTGACCTCACTTGAGCCCTGTCCTGTCAGCTTTAGGGGCTAAGTCAAGCCCTGGCAGTCTCCTCGCCAAGGAGAGGCCAACTGTCAGGATCAGTTTTTTTCTTTCTCAAGTCAATAACTATTTATTAAGTACTTATCGTGTGCATGGCACTATGCTCCTTAACTTCATAATTACCCCGTTCCTGATTTCCTTCTTGAATAGTCCTGCCTTAGGCCTGCTGGTGGCTTCCACATTGGAATCGCTGTTGGCTATTAGCTCGTGGAACCATATGGAACCCCAGACTACTAAGAACAGAAATTGTTGGTGTCCTTCAACATGTCCCCACACATAGTTTCAGCCTTTGCTGTATTTGTTCACCTGAGAAGGCTGTGGCTCAAGCTTGCCTCTGCTTCCAGAAGCCAGCCTGTATATTTAAATGTCACGTCTGGTCTCTGTGCTCTTCAGGTGAGGCTGCAGCATTTGATGATGAATGGCGGAGGGAGACATCCCGATTCCGGCAGCAGCGCCCTCTGGAATTTCGACGGCATGAGGCTTCAGGGGGTGGGGGACGAAGGGCTGAGGGGCCTCCCCGCCTGGCTATACAGGGACCTGAGGACTCCCCCTCCCGACAGTCCCGCCGCTATGACTGGTGAGGGCCCTAGGCCCTCAGCCTCTCTTGTAAGTATTGAGAGGGAGGAATTGTAAGGTGTCAGGCACGGAGGGGGGGTTGAGGCACGTACCCGTGCACATTCCTTTGTCATGAGGCAGAAGGAGTCCAGGTGCCCAGCAATTACTGCCTTTGATGGTGTAAGTTTTAGTTGGTGTGAAGAGAAGAATGCTGCCACTGGAATGGGAGAGTAAACCCAACTCCTGGCCTTTACGTTTTGTCTTTTGACTCGCTCTTCTCTCTTTCCCTTCCAGGTACAGGCTGAGAGGCTGAGAAATCATCCCCCAAATAACTTTTTCCTCTCCAGCTCCCACTCCCAATTTAATATTAAATTAACAGGCAAGCTGGCCCCCCACCTCTCCCTGGGGGTCTCAGGGAGAACCTTTCACTGCCCCCTTTACCTACTTTTTCCTTCTTTAATCCCCTACCATGATGAGTCCACTTCTCCTGTATCTGCTAACTTGATTTTTCATTTTGCTGCTCCATCTTTGAGCCTCCTCACCTTCCCTTTTCTACCCTCGCCATGCATCGAAGGGGCTTTTGGGGTGAGCTCTGGGTTTAGGGGCTTCCTCTATCCCTCAGCTGCCCTGGATCTTTGCCCACCTCCTCCTCAGATCCCCCACTGCAGAGGCCACAGCCCTTATCCAGGGCTGTGTGTGGAGGGAGAGGACTGGCTCCCAACCCTTTCTCCCTTCCCACTCCCTGCACATCACAGAAACCTTCCCTACACCCTCCTCTGCCTTTATTTTTTGATTTGTGCAACTTGTAACTAGGTGTTTATGGAATAAAGGAGAATGGAAAAAAGAGCAAGTAGGATTCTGGCTTTACTTTTGATCTTTTCCCTGTTCAAATTCAACCCTCCTGTCTTCTCGTCACCTTCTTGCCTTCCCTCTGTCTCCACGTGTGGCCTTCTTAACTCGAGTTCAAGCCCAGTACTTCGGTGGTAACAACAGTGGGACAGTCAGAGCCCAGAGCAGCAGCAGCGGAAGTCAGTTGGGCTAGGCTGATGGGTGAAAACAAGCAGTTTCACCCTTGGCTGCTGTCTCCCTTGCTTTTACTGTAACTTCACATGTCAGGGAGAATGTAAGGCATGTCTCCTAGGTGCCTGAGGAATTTGGTGCCCCTTGTCCCTTGGGCATAGATTCTCCCCTGGACTGTGGGTGGGAACACGTGTGGTACCGAGCAGGAAGGCACAGGCCTTCGAGGGGGAGGCACTTTGGAGTCAGCAATGTCCTTCCACCCTCAGTTGTTGAGAATTTGAGCCCAGGGAAAGAGACCAGAGAAGAAAACCAACCTGGAACCTGAGCAGTACTGGAAGGGCATGAAGGGCTCAAATTTCTTAAGACGTTCACTCTTGGCTTGACCTGGCTCGGCCAAATGGGTCACTCTGTTCTTGGGAACTTAATGACAGTAAATGCTGGTAAGGGTCTGGTGATGGTTTCTTTATAACAATCTTTGGTTCTTCTCAGTTGATGGTAAATCAAAGTCAAAGAAACAAAACAGCACAGGCACCTGGCTGGCTCAGTCAGCACAGCATGCGACTCTTAATCTCAGGGTTATGAGTTTAAGCCCCATGTTGGGTGTAGAGCTTACTTAAAAAACAACACACACACACAAACAACTCCAGGCTCTGGTTCCTCTTAGGGAAGGGAGGATCTTTCCCATGTCCTCTGTGAACAAACAGATTCAAGAGGATCTGTCTAGTAGCTGAACAAGCAGAGGGAGGAAGTAGAGAGCAACGATCATACATTGACGTCCTATTCCAGGACACGTGCCAAATCTCATTACATAGGGCTGGTGAAGATCCATGATCGGGGTCAAGGGAACCAACCCTGTGGCCAAAAGAATCCAGGAATCTCAGAAGTCAAACAAGTACAGGCTCCCCCCGCTATCCGAAAACAGAGTGTTCCTGTGAAAGCTTTCGGAAGCTGAAATGGCATAAAGCGAACTGATTACTATTAACTTCTATGGAGAAGTGTTTGAGCATTCCCAGACCCAAAAAATAACCTTGAATTTTCTGAAACCATCTTGCTAAGGGACGCACAGAGCAAATGGAAGCTCACAGACGGCTCAGAGCTAGGCCTGATGCAGAGAAGCTGAGTATAGCTCTGGGGGAAGGAGCGTGGTGACCGCCCTCTTGCCGCTCTGGGCATATGGCACCTCTACAACTTGCTGCAAAATCAAAAGCTTGCCAAAAGCTATTTTCACTTTGGCAAAAGCAAAAATCCCCTTCGTATTTCTTTGTGTTAGCCCAAACCGGTCTTCTGCACATGTGAAGTGGCTTAATGTAAACTTGTAAAAGGTGAGGGGTGCCTATATAGATAATTCATCTCCTCCCGGGTGGCTGAGTGGCTGAATTGTAGATGATGGGACTCAAAGCATCCAAAGCCGTCAGTCCCAAGTGTCAATCTGTGCTCTGTCCAAACAGACATATATGTCCTTCTGGGAGTGGGAACAGCTTTCGTGAGTCTCCTGTGGAGCCCACAGGACAAAGATCCCTAGACTTGTAAGGGATGCCCAGAGGCTGGGTCCTCGGCTCTGCCACCAGCCCAGCCATGTGGTCTTGGGCAAGTTATTCACTTCCCCTGAAGTTTCCGGCAAGCTGTAAAATCTTAGGCTGCAGTTCATGGCCAACCTGGTCAATCTGGATTTCACAATGCCCACACTCACAGGTATGGTTCTGAGTGGGGGCTGGAGCAGGGCAAGGGTTACCCGGATTTCATTCTAGGTGAGTCAACCTAGTGTTTCACGAGCTCTCTCATATGGGAACTGGCTTTCAGACACATGAACTGATTTTCACCCCTACTTCCTGCACTTGGGTGAGGACCACCCTTCAACTCAGTGCTTCTTACTCCTAGAACCCGTGACTGGTTCTCAGCAGGGATCTGTTGTGGGGAGTTAGTGAGCAACATTCTCCTAGTGAGGTGCCCAAGAACCAGCCCCCTGGCACTTGTTGACCTGTCTGTCACTGCAGGGTGAGGGCCAGGGGGCAGAAATGGGAAAGGAACCCTGGGGAAAGAAGCCGACATTTTATTTCTGGTCAACTCTCCAACTGGGCCCAGCCTCATTCACAACAGCCATCCCCCCAGCCCTTGGCCCCAGCATCTGGAGGACATGGTTGGACGCATTATTTTCCTCATGGCTGATATTTGGCTGGAGGTCAAGCTATCTACAGGAGTGAAATTATGAACGCAGCCTGACTTGAGTAAGACCTGGCTCCACCACTTAGCATGACCGGGAAGAATTCTTAATCTCTCATCAGTTTCCCACTTTGTAAAATGGACCAGGAAGAATTCTTAATCTCTCATCAGTTTCCCACTTTGTAAAATGGGCCTTTCTAGGCGCTCGCTGATGGCAGTGGAGACATGGGTCCATCCTGCAGAACTGAAATCCGTGATGTAGTATGCAGAAAGCATTTGACACAGTGCACGGGTTACAAATGACTGATTTCTCCCTGATTCCTCTGTCTTGCTCCTTTGATGCTCTCTGGTGATCCTCATCTCTGTGCCCGTCCTCAGGACTCCTAAAATACTCCCAGCCACAACTTGGAAATCATCATCCTGGCCTCCAGCCCTCTGTGGTGCCAGCTACCCAATTATTATCTTCTGCCCTTTCCAGACCAAAAAGTGGAAGCAAATGTTTTGGGCCACTCTGACCCAGGTCTGCTTGCAGTTTGGGGTGTTTTCCTTCCTATGGTAACAAAGGGCCTCGGGTCCTACTGACACCCTTTATCCAATGTCCCTTTCCTCCCTTCTTCTGCAATCCAATGCCCAAGTCACAAACCGGTCACCCAGAGGACCAGGAGTTGATCCACAACGATAACCCAGTATTCAGGTCTCCCAACCCACATACTCCAAGTGCACTTAAATACTCCACATACCTGCCCTGCCCCGATGCTCCCAGTCCTGGGCATGGGGCCTCCCAACGGCTGACGGAGCAGCAAGGGTCAAGGTTTCCTTCTCCCAGTCCATTCCAGTTGGGATAGGGATTAAAAAAAAAAAAAAAAGTTGTCTTTATTTCTCTCCTTAGACATTACTGGGGTCTTCAGATTAGAGGGGTGGGATCCAGGTGGGGCTGCACTGGAAGCTGGGGAGGTGAAGACAGGGACAGTTAGGCACAGGAGGTGCTAAAAGGTAAGAAAAAAACAGGGGACTGGGGACATGGGGAGGGAAGGCCTTGGGTATCGGTTCCGCCAAGCAGCCTCCCAGCTAGCCTCCAACCCTGAGGAGAGCCTGTGGGGGGCACAGAGCTGGCATGGCGTGAGGGACGTACATGGAGGGGCCTGGGATGCAGAAGGCGGGCAGAGCTGCTTTGGAGGTTGGGCAGGGAGCGCTGGCAGCTCTGAGCCTTCCCATCCTCAATGTCCGCCCTTAAATGGGAGCTCTAGGGAGACAAGGACAAGCAGGTGGTGCTTCTCCCTCTGGGCTCAGCCCTCCCTGTCTGCGCCCCCCTCCCCGCCCCTATGCTCTGCTCTGACTGTCCCTGGGATAAGTTAGCACTCCAAGTTCCTTGGCCCTTGTCTGCCCTTTAGGATTTTTTTTCTTCCCTGAAGACCTTATCTTTGGCATAGGAATAGGGTGCTGCCCCCAGTTCCCCTCGGCATCCCTCCCACCCTCTTCATCTGCTGTCACCTGCCACCCGGAGGGCTTGCAGGTTCTGGAGAATTACCTCCAAGATGTAAGTGTTCGCCAGCCAAGCGGCCAACCGAGTGTCCGCAGCTAGGACATTTGGACACATGGAGCTGGAAGATAGGAGAGGGGGGCATGGGATACGGCCCTAGAGGTGGACTTGAGTCTCTAAAAGGGGGGGAGCAGAAATACCTTAGGAAAGGTCAAGGTCACACTGAAGTGGGAAATGGTTTGATGGAGAGATTCTTGGAAAACTGCTGGTGACTTTAGTGAAGATATCCTGGGTTTGTGTGTGTCGGGTGTGAAATTCCCAACTGACAGGCAACATGGCAGGGAAGGGCAGAAGCGGGTTCCCAATTCACATAGACCTTAATGTAAGCAAACCCCAGTTTGCTATATGCTAAATATATGCTATGAATAACGATACGCTATAACACTTTTAGAGTTAGAGACCTTGCGGCTCACCTCCTCTGGATGTTACCAAGTGTGGTAGCAGATGGGCATCACCACCCCGGACCTCCTGAAGCGGAATCTTGAGGTTGGAGAGGATTCCACACAGCTTAGCAACAATTACAGGTGTCATCCAAACCCCAGCTCCTATGTCACTGCTTAAGAAACAGAGGTGACTGTTGACCACGCAGTTAGCTAGCTAGCAGCACTGCAAGAGCCAGGGCTCAAAATCCAGATTGACACAAAGGATACTAATGGGTTGTACAGAATGTGTCACCATTGGGTTCCTTTATTTTTTTTTTTATTTTTTTTAACGTTTATTTATTTTTTTTTTGAGACAGAGAGGGACAGAGCATGAACGGGGGAGGGGCAGAGAGAGAGGGAGACACAGAATCGGAAACAGGCTCCAGGCTCTGAGCCATCAGCCCAGAGCCCGACGCAGGGCTCGAACTCATGGACCGTGAGATCGTGACCTGAGCTGAAGTCGGACGCTTAACCGACTGAGCCACCCAGGCGCCCCACCATGGGGTTCCTTTAAATAGTTCCTCGGTAATTTTTAAAAACTTTTGTATTAGGGGCGCCTGTGTGGCTCAGTCGGTTAAGCATCAGACTTTGGCTCAGGTCATGATCTCGTGGCTCACAGGTTCAAGTCCCACGTCGGGCTCTCTTCTGTCAGCATGGAGCCCGCTTCGGATCCTCTGTTTCTCCC